CCTCCTCCTGCCGGGAGCTGTGGACGGCTGCAGGGAGGAAGCTGCATGAGTGGGGGTGGAAGGACAGGGCCTCAATCCCTCCTAGGAGCCACCGGTCCCCGGGAAACCTGGGGCCATTCACTGCCTGAGCAGGCACAACTTTGGGGACACCCCCTGCAGCTGCTCCCCCCCCCAAAAAAAAATTAGGCAAGGGCTGAATTCCATTGGAATGCCATTTTAAACCAAATTTTGTTGATGAAATAGAGCCAGGATGACTAACTTCCTGGGCGTTTGGCCATATTTAAAGTTTGGGGGGGAGTCACAGGAGGCTCTTTGCTTTGAGGGCTTGCAGGGGGCTCTGGGACCCCTGCTCTGCAGGGACATCATCAGAGGGGTGCTTTGCTTCTGCCCTCTCCTAGAGAGGGGAGCCTTGTTTGCAGAAGTGGAAGGAAAGACCCCTTTCGGCTGCTCGGCAAGAGTTGTTCTCCACCCTTGCTTAAACCCGGATGGGGCAGGGAGTGGGAAGGGGGGGATGGCGGGCCCCGACTCAGCTCTTTTCCGCACCACCCTTCTCATTTCTTCCCAGCTCTTCCAAGGCTCCCCCAAGGCTCCCCCATTGCCTGGGTCTAATTCTGCAGTGCTAAAACTTCCTCTCCTTTTGGGGGACCTGCCCACCAAGCCCACTTTTCCTTACTGGGCCCCTGCCCACCTTTGCTGCCCCACGCTGCTGCCCCCCGAGTGCCCCCTCACCTGCTGGCCGGGGATGCTCCCGAAGGTCCCGAGGATCCGGAGGGCGGTAGGTGTCCCGGTAGCGGTGGGCCACAGCCATGTCCTCGAGGCGGTAGTGTTGGGGGGGAGGCGGGGTGGGGTGGGGCAGCCCATTGGGCTGGTGGCTGAGCCCATTGTTAGGGCTGTACCGCTGGGCAGGGCTCAGGGTGCAAGGCCTCTTGCTGAGGTGCTCGGGATGCAGGGAGTCGCGGTCCAAGCCGTTCTCTTTGGTCCTGCGCCACAAAGACACACCCCGCCATCAGGGCACTCCAGCCGATTTACCAGGCTGCCCAACAGAGGGCAAGCAATGCCCAGGACAGCCCAGCTTCCCAGAATGACCAGGTTCGCACTGCCTCCATGGCAACTGACTGAATGACAAACACGCCCCCCCCCCCCAGCCCCCAGAAGGGAGTTCAATGCTTCTTCCTGGGCATTTCCAACTGGCTGGTCCTTTAGAACAGTGTTTCCCAACCTTGTCAACTTGAAGATGTCTGGACTTCAACTCCCAGAATTCCCCAGCCAGCATTCGCTGGCTGGGGAATTCTGGGAGTTGAAGTCCGGACATCTTCAAGTTGACAAGGTTGGGAAACACTGCTTTAGAAGCCGTCTCTGGGCTCTTCTCCGGAGGGACGTTGGCAGTTCAGCCATTTTGGTCACCTCCCAAATGGAGCTTGAGAGTGACCGGCTCAGGGCCAAGGCCGACCTAAAGCTTGGTGAATTTCCCCAATATATCTTTGGAGCTGTGTGGCCCCCTAACCTCCATCCCTCTGCTAATGGGAGCCACGGGGAGACTGGTGCTCCCTGCTTCCCAGTTGGGGCAGGCAACCAACCCCTCAAACTCCCGGGAGAGCTTGGATCCTCACTCTATGACGGTCACCCTGAGGGGCAAAGATGTCTGCATACGGGTTTCCCGCAAATGAAGGGAGCCAAAGGACACCAGAATGGCTTCGCCTCTTTCTCAGTGGGGTCACCGGCTGCCTTGGGGGGGGGGGGGCTCCTTTCTCCACCTATCACCCCTCTTGGCTGTTTCAGACTTTGACCCTCCCGGATGAGGTTCCAGCCTCTACACCTGCGGGTCAAAGGTCCTTCTAAAGAAGAATGCCTGGCAAGGCTGTCCCCAGCCTGGGAAGCCGCCCCCCCTTGCCCTCCCCCATCTCTCAGGTGCTGGAGGCTGGCATACCTGTCTGGCGTCCGCCTTTTGACCCCTTCGTTGACCTCCAGCAGCAGCTCCGAGGAGTCGATGGGCGAGGAGGCGTTGGCATCCAGCAGGAGCTGCTCGTGTTGGGCCAAGTACTGGGCCGGGCTCTGCTTGGCCATGCGGGCGCAGTGGAGAAGCTCCCGCTGCAGCAGGGGCAGGTTGGCCTAAGCGGGAAAAGAGGAACCATGAAGAGAGCGCGAGGGGGCAGCCGAGCCTGCCGGGGGTCACTCCTCTCCGTGGGTTTCCCAAAGGGATAGGAGATCCTGCTCTAAGCAGGAAGCTCCTTGGAGCCCCATCTTAGGATCTTCCTGGAGGAAGTCCTCCGACGGTTCTCCTTATTCCCATCTCCCATGCCTTTAGCGGAAAGCGTTTGACTCCCTGTGAGGTTCTCCCGGAGCTTGGTCCCAGGGAGGAGCCTCCGCCAAAGTGATTGAGCAGGCGAGCAAAGTCGTGCCACGAGCCAACCCTGGTTTCCTACTTAAGCCGCGGATGGCCGGCCAAACCGCCATCTGTTGAACACATTTGAGCTGATAAAGTGCCCCACTGTGGATTCCAGGACAGCAAACCTCCTTCTCCTCCTCCTCCTCCTCCTCCACCACCTTCTCCCTCTCTCTGCCTCGGCTCCACGTTCCCAGAAAGAGAAATAATAAAAAGGAATAAATAACATCTCTGGGAAAGGCAGGCTGGGGGCCGCCTGCTTCGAGTTAGCCTAATGAGAAGCATCTGGAGCCCCGGGTGGAAGACAGCTGGGAGAGGGTGCTGGAGAGCAGAGCAGGCCAGGAGGAGGCTTTCGGGG